CCTCCCCCATCAGTTTTAAGTTTATGGTGATAAATTCCAAATCATAAAATCAAATGTAAACCCTAAAACTATTGCTATTATATGTTGGATTTATAACCTATATGATCTCTTTAATGACTAGCCTTAATCGAAAGTTCTCTCTAGTTATCGGAAGGGGTAATTAACTATAGGGGTTTGCGTCTATAGGAAACCAGAACTCATATCAAAAAGTTCTCACAAGATGAGGGAGAAATTTTCAGGTAGTGTCTTATGTAAACCCAATCTGCCTTCTGAAAAGTCACCTGGAAACTAAGCTCGTTAAAACTCTCTGCCGTCAATTACACAAACAAATAAAGAAAAGAGATATGGCGCGGTGAGGACGGAGAACTCACATATGGAATTTTTGGAGTCCATAGATTTTTAGCGTCTCCGCTGGTGATTGGTTTTTCTTTCCATCTTTTGGCTAGTTATATATAAATATAATAACAATAAAATTATTAAAATTCAAATAAATTCATTAAAGTTAAGAGTTTGAAAATATGAAATCAAATATAACTTACAGTATATATTATTTTATTCTGTATAGTCACTGCACTTTGAAAGTGTGGGGTAATGTATCAATTTTTTATTACTAATCATTTCCTTCCATTTATGCAAAAATGGAACTACATAATACTCTCTTTACTGTCCAACTAGGATGAGGTGGTAGCATTCAACTAGCCAATGCCATCATCAACACTGGAGAGTCTGAAGCCACCATTTGATTTGGTAGCTTAGAGTTTTCTGCAACTACTGCAAAGGCTGCTGTCGTACCTATTTACGGCATAACTGTTCAAGGCCATGTTGCGAGGTCTGATTCTACTGATACTTATGTAAGACGTGTTTATTTCGTGCCACAAGCACAAATCACGAGCCGCTAGAATTGCTACTGCTAAAGCAGTTCAACAAAACAGGACCTCAGTCTTCGAGAGGCTCTCACACCCTGAAGTTCTAACTATGAAGAAGACTGATGTAAAATAGAAGACCACGCTCGATACGAGCAGTTAGAAGAAGAATATGTCACATCAGACGATGAACAAAATGATGATCAAGAAGAAGAAGTGCTTGCTGAGACATTAGCACAAGTACAAAGGCGTATGAAACTCCAGATGAAGGAAAAAGATAAGGTGATATTGGAACTGAATAGCAAGATGACTGAAATGATGGCACAGACGGCTGCAATGATGCAGTTAATGCAAAATAGGCATCAAACATTGAAGAAACTAGTTAATCAACAAATATCGAGTATTATTCCTGTTAATATGCCAACCAACCCAATAACGCAAGTGTTTGGAGTACAAATTACAAATGAAGGGGGAAATGAGGCTGATCGACTTGTTCACCTGCAAACTCATCAAAATGTTGCAAGTACATCTGAGCTAGTGATGACTCCACAGCTAGAATCAATTATCAATGAAAAGATTAAAGCTACTTATGTACGATGTGTTTATTTCATGCTACCATTCATTATAAACGGGAGTAAGGGTTTAGTCGAACACATCGAACACCGTCAATGATAATGATGAACACATTGAATGTTGTCAATAAAAACATCAAACACATCTGATTATTAATTTATATTTTTAATTGCCTTTATATTGTATTTTATAAAAATTGAAATTGTATTTAAATAATTTTCTTTGGCAACTTTACTTTCTTCCTTTTCGTCGAGTCAAGATTGCACAAATCGATATTTTCTTTTCTTCTTCCCTGCTGAGTACAATTGCACAAACTAATGAAATCAAATCAAATCATAGTTCTGTCTCAAATAGAAATTTACTTACTCTATATCTCTTGCTCTATATGTCTCTTTATTTCTGACTTTATCAAATCAAATTATACAACACTACGTTTCTTATTTTAATTTCAGCAAAAATAGGTTGCTCAAAGACGCACTACTCTGACAAGCAAACTCTTATTCTACTTCTTTATCGAATAGCAATTGCCTAGATTATAACTTCTTCTCTTGCTCCGACATCAAACATCAAACCTTCATGAAATTCTTGTCCTTCACCTTCGACAAATAGCAACCGCATACAAACTCTCTCCTTTGCCTTCGACTTTATTGAAAGTAGACACAACCGTTTGTTAACTACTCCTTTGACCTTCTCCTTCATTTGCAGCAACGAACCACACTTTTTCTTCATACCTGTCAAACACACGAACTTCTCCTTGACTCCTGTGATCGAAGCCATGAAACTGTGTAAACATCTTCTTCCTCTCGGAATCTCACACTTGGTTTTGTCCGGCTCTGCCTCCAATCGAAGCCTCAAAGCCCCCATCTTCATGGGAGTCATGTCCATCCTTGGCCATGCTCAATTAGTCCGACCATGCTTGAAAAAAGAAATTGGTTCTACTGAACTGGTTCAGGCTTGCCATTACAAGGTTGTTTTTGGGGACTTTTAAATAAATGGTGATTAGTTTAAACATAAATTGCTATTAACCCTTTATCAATTTTTCTATTAGTTTTGATTATGAGGAGTCTATAAATAGTGATTTGAGAATATAATTCAAAATTTTTGAATTGAATAGGATTTTTCATCTAGTTTTTAATTTTATAAGTGAAAACTAAATTTGTGATTCTTTCAAGTGCTGCAGTAGTGCGATTATTTGATTTTGGAAGAAGTCATATCCTTGTGCCAGTTCTATTGAAACTTGTTAAATATGAATTAGATTGTTAGACCTAAGCTTATGTCCTAATGGCTAACCAAGAAGGGGGTGAATTGGTAATTTAAAAATTTCCTCTTAAACCGATTTAAGATTTAGTGAATTTTTAGAAACTATTTTTCAACCACAGATTAACACAAAAAATCAGAAATAAAAAAATAGCAAAAAATAAAAGACACAAGATTTATAGTGGTTCGGTCAAACACGACCTACATCCACTTCCTGAAGTCTCCCACTTCAGGTATTGCACTATTACCACAAATGTCTCTCCTTTTGCCCCCACAGCAAGGCGGAGAAGCCTTCACGAGAACTCTCTTCCACCACTACCCGGTGCGGCAGAGAACTGTCATCCTTTTACACCCTCCAAGTGTAGGCAGAGAATCTTCGTCCTTTTACACCCTCCAAGTGTAGGCAGAGAACTTTCGGTTGTTCACACTCCTCGAGTGTCGGCAGAGAACCTTCGGCTCTTCACACTCTTCGAGTGTCGGTAGAGAATTTGGATCTTCTTGAAAGATCTTCTCATGAAAAATCTAGAAGGACAAGAGAAAAGAGTGAAGTAATCACAAATTACAAATAGAGATCCTTACCTTTGAGTAATCAAGTGAACCCTTCACGCTCCAGTAGTAAGAACTCTCTTTCACTCTCTCCTTCAATCTTCTTTAGTATGCACGAAGACCAAAGTGTCAAAAAGATTGCATTACAGTCTTAAGTGGACCTTTATAAGAAAGACATGAAAAACCATCCCACAATTACATTTTTCAATTTCTGACCGATCATGATTGTCCCGTACGATCTAATTTCATACGTACGAACAATGTAAAAACTGTTATATACAAACTTAATGTGAACTGGTACGAACAGCCTTCGTACCCGATCATCATCCCGTACGAACATGGTTCGTCTGGTACGAATGGTTTTTCTCAAAGTTCGTTGGTACGAAAAAGAAGGACGAATATGAAGTTTCCAGAACAGAGAACCTCGTCCTGGGACGAATCATAATTATCGTCTGGACGAATAGTTCATTTTGACCAATCCAGAGTCCATCTTCCTGGGACGAACGATTATTATTGTCCGGGCGAACCCATCCAGAGAGCACCATCCTGGGATGTACGATAAATATCGTTCGAACGAATGCGTCCAGAGCCCATCATCCTGGGTCGAACGAAAAACATCGTCTGGACGAATGATTCATTTTGGTGTATACAGAGCTCATCGTCTTAGGACGAACTATAAATTTCGTCTGGACAAACTCATCCAGAGAACATCGTGCTAGAACGAATGATAAATATCGTTTGAACGAACGCATCCAGAGCCCATCGTCTTGGGATGAACGAAAAACATCATCTGGACGAATAGTACTTAGAAAAAAATTTTAATCGTCTATGTTCGTTCTTTTGCTCGTTCGGGAGTTAACTGACCGGATCGTCCCGTACGAACATGGTTCGTATTCTACGATCAGTTTTAAAAATTATGAATTTTAACTCTGCCCTGGTGTGTGTGTGCTAAGTTGCTCAATTTACAATCACACACTCTCAGACTCAAATAAAATGAAAAATACAAACTCCAGTTTTACAAAAAATTTTAAGTAGATCTTGATTTGAAGTCTTCAATAATTTGGAGTATGATTTTCTTGAAAAGTTAGTACACACAAGAGCCAAAAATAAATCTTCTAAAATATGTTAGGAGAAAATAATAATAAAAAACAATAATATTTGGAATCATCAAAATATACAAGTTGCAAGAATGTAAATCATGTAAAACTAAGTAGCAACTTTCTCAACAAGTTCGTGACTTGATTTTGTAATGTTGTTCCTTGCATATTTTTCTATTTTCTTTCTTGACTTGTTTAGTTACTAGTGCTATTTATTTTGGTCAAAAAAGTGATATGTTGGATATTTGATCTTGTGCAAATTAATTAATATGCTCATTGATTTTATTTGTTTGAAAATAATTGCTGAGTTTCATAGATATTGACAATCAATTTATTGTCAACCAGGCTTAATGACTTATCTTGTCTTAGTTTTTTTCTAAATAATTTTTTGAATTGATAAATAACTTGCGTTATGCGAATCCTTAATTTTTATTTGCGTGAGTATATATGACGCATCATATTAGTTTTATTAGGAAGTCCAACCTCAAGTTGTCCTGCATCAATGTAGGAGTTCTTAAGTGGAAGTCATCAATTAGTTCGATAATACTAAGTATTTGTAACAAATTGATGGAAATTTAGTTCACATCTCTAGGTTTCTTATTTATTATTGCTTCTGTATGCTTTAATAAACTTTTGTTTAACATGCTGTCTTATTTTATGGCAGCCTCTGCTAAATCTTTTTCATTCAGAACCTGGGAATAGTCGGTGGAAACGCGCGGCTGATGCTGCATTAAGGCATTGCAAGGTATGTAAAAAGAACCCCTTCACAACTTCTCTTCACACCTTGCGCTTGAACATCTCGTGTTTTTTTGGGCCTTTTCAAGGCCTATTTTCTGTTTAGTAGAAAAAAAAAACTCATGTCTTATCTAGCTAATACTCTCCAAGGAATTCTATAATCTCTTACTTATTTGCTCCTTCAATACTGTGTTGCTTGTCTGCCCTTCCGTACAAAAATCTATAGTGTTGGTAGTTATGGATTTGATGGGCCCATCTCTACTAAATATTTAGCTTCATTTCCTCGGCAAAGAGCACTACGTAATTTTCCAGATTCACTGATTGCTCAACAAATTTTAACCAGAGGAGTTCTTATACATAGATTGATAGAGAATAATCATCCATATTCATTTCTTCTACTTAGATTAGTTGAAAAATGAATCCTATCTAATAGGGCATTGCATGAAAAAAAAGGTCTATAATCATTTTCGATTAACCTGAGGAAAATAAGTAGAAAGAGCCAAAGGAAAAGGTGGGAAAAGTACGATTTCATTCTAATTGTTCATCTTAATTATTTTGCTGGTTATTTAAAAAATGAAATCATTTGCCAAACACTAAGGCATTGTTTGGCAAAAAGCATTCTTAACCATTTTGAACTAATCAGCGAAAACCTACACAAGAGCCTAATTCAAAACAATTCTACAAATCTCATGAAGCACGTGCTTGTCAATTTGGCATTATCATACATATAAAAGTTAAATAATGTTGTTATTATAATGTTTTTTCTCTCATTTTTCTTCCTAAAAGCCGTCATGGCTGCTCATCGCTTGAGTGACCCCGATTTTTTGGATGTAAAACACAAATCGCGGTCTTTTCGTGAGGTTTTATCTGGTGAGCGGCTTCTCCGACGTTTCCTCTATTCAATCCTTCTTCTCACCATGGTTTTCCTGCTTTGTTGATTTCAGAAGATGAAATGAGTTATCTTGTTGCTCCGTTTGAGTTTGCTCTAGTTTGGAAGTTCCCTGCTCGTTATCCCTCGCTCGATTCCATTCATAAATTTTTTCTGAATCTGAAATTGATTGGTGAATTTTCTGTTACTTTGTTGAACCCTAAGAATATTTTGATTAAATTGAGAAATGATTTGGATTATTGCTGGGTGTTCTCCCATCATTCCTATTTTGTCAACAACTGTTATATGAAGCTTTTCAAGTGTTCTCCTCACTTTGATGTGAATGTTGAATCTCATGTTATTCCCATTTGGGTGTTTCCCTACCTCTGCTCGCTCTTTTCCCCTACGCATTTTGCATGGGTCAGGATCTTTGTTTGGTAGACCATTGCGTATTGATAATGCTACTATTAGCGGCACTAGACCTTCGGTTGCTTGTATACTTGTTGAGTTAGATATTACTGAATGTTATTCTAAAATCAAGTGTGGCTTGGCTATGATTCTGTGGGATACCATGGAGATCGAAGAATTTCCCCCGTATTGCTCCCATTATAAATCTTTGAGTCATGTAAGAGATGTTTGCCCTCCTGTGGTGGAGGGACCTTCGGTAGGTGCTCATACTTCACAAAATGCTGGTGATATTCTGCCTTTTGTTGGGGTGAATCATTGTGTTGGTGATGTATCTCTTGCTGATGGGGGTGATCCTTCTATAATTAATGTTGGGGAGCAAGAAAATATGGCTACATTGGTTGAGGGTGATGTTGATTGCCTTAATTTTGATAATTTGGTTTCTTCTAATGTAGCTTTCCTTGAGTCAGCGGATGTTAATTTGATTAAAGATAGTGTGTTTGAGGATTGTCGTGTTGCTTTGACTCCTGGAGTGGAGGAGGTTTATGGTGTTGGTCATTTGGATCATGGTGCTCAGGTCAGACATCCCTCTATTGGGGGGAGTGTTGTTTGTGATTATTTGGTTGATGTTCCTGTCGAGCAAATTTTGCCAAATGTTCTTAAGTAACAAATTTTGTTGAGATCAGGGGAGTTCTGTTTGAGGCAAATTGATTGATTGGATGATTCTCATGACTCTTCGTGTGATCTGGAGGATGACTTGGGGGGGGGGGGGGGGGGGGGTGGGGGGGGGGGGGGGGGGGGTTGATGTTGGTGCCATATAGGAGTTAGTATGGTTTGGAGGTGTCTGGTGCTTTGGAACCCCCTTTCTCTCGTAGTGGCAAACGGCGTCGATGCAAATCTAAGAGATAAGAATTTTCTTTCTCTTTTTGTTTTCATTTGCAGGGCTGGCTATTTTTTATTTCTCTTGTGCTGCCTCGGTTTTTTGGGTTGGGATGTTCTGATGCGGCTTGTTTTGGCTTGGTTTTAGTGAGCTATGACTCGGTTGCTTTCTTTACCTGCTCTATTGTGGTTTTGGAATTGGCTTTGAACTATGATGAGGCAGTATCCCTGCATGCCCCGCGGATGGCCATGGCTTGGTTTGCAACCTTGGTGGTCCTTTTCCTTACCAGAATTTTTGGACTTTTACTTTGGTGAACCTGATGTGTTTGGAATCTACGTGATTGCCTCTGTTTCCTCTTTAATTGGCCCAAGCCTAACAACAAGGTGGCGGTCTGAGCCCAGTTGCGTTGGGATTTTTCCTTTTCATTGTCTTGCTCAGGTTGTTTGGCTGGACACTAATTTTTTTGTCCTCTCACTATATTTCTCTTATATGTGGCCTCTATTTTGGGCTTGTGCTGTAATGCCTCTTTTATCTAATGGAATTTTCTTTAAAAAAAAAAAAAAATCAATGGCATTAAGCGCTCAATGTTGGACATTTTTGTGCTTAGATAAACATGAAAGAATATCAAGTGAAAGGAAACTTAAAGTTATAAAAGTATTCACGTAAAATTAATCATTTTCAATAATAAAAACTTTTTCAAAACACAAGTAATTCAAACAGATTTTGCAAGATTCATAGAGTCATGAAACATCAGTTAAAAAAAAAATTGAAGCAATGAAAAACAACTTATTCAAGCAATAATTGAAAACATATTTCTAAAATCACATATGTTTAAGAAAACTAATTGCCCCATTTTCTTTCCTTTTAATTTTAAGCTTCGTTTATGGCGGCTTTCTTATTGTTTTCTTAAGCAGTTTTTAAATATAAAAATTTTTTGAACTAGAAATCTTAGTACTAGAAAGTTATTTTAGGAAGCAGTAAAAAAGCTGTCCCAAATGAAGCCTTAGGAGTAAAATTCAGTTTATCTGAAATAAAAAATTGTAATTAAGGTAAGGAAATACGTATTGAGAATTTTTTTTGGAATGTTGATTAAAAAGTTGCCAAGCAATATGACTTTGACCCTACGCCCTTCAGAAGGAGAGTGAAATCCTCAACCACTTGAGCAATCAAGCGGCCATATGTATTGCAGATTTCGACCAATCTAATTACTGGGCCTCAATTTTTACTAAAGATGATGCTAATTTCAATAGGTTTGTCTTTCTGAATGTGTCTGAACCCTTCTGGCTTTTAAATGATAGCTTTTTCTACATGATTATTTGTATGCGTGTATATATATATACACCCAATCTTTATGCATAAGCAAACTTTGGTGATGCAAAATTTCCAGCTCAAAGCTCACCGAGCTTTCTATATAAATTAAGAGGCAACTAAGCAGTTGAAAATTTAAATATCAATCTCATATGAAAAACCCACTCCACATTACACACGTATGTGAATTCGGCACCCCAACCCCCTAACAAAAAACAAAGGCATAAAAATGTAGATTTCTTTTTTAAAAATTTTTGTGCAGCAATAGAAGCAAAGGGGGTGGGTAACCCAGATGATAAAACTAATGTAAAAGAGGTTGATCGGTTCAAGCAACCCTAGCTTCTCCTGTTCTCCGATTATTTGATCCATCTTCATTATCTCAGTCCAGTGATATTGTAGCCTGTTAGTGTTTTTCTTTACAGTGAGAAGTGTTTGGTCTGCTTCAAATGGATCACCAAAGAAAATGCCACGAAATTGTAGGGAAAATTATTAGGTGCGGACACCGGATGTAAAGATACGTCTGGACATCCACTTAAAATTTGACACGTGCAGTACACTTTTGTTACTTTTTTTGTGCGTTTTACTTGCACTTTAGTTGCGCTTTGACTGATCATTTATTGCGTTTTTTTACTGCGCTTTGACTGCTCTTTATGTACACTTTAATTGCACTTTTGTTGCGCTTTTTTACTTTGTTTCAGTTGCGCTTTACCTATGCTTTTGGTGCGCTTTGCTTGAAGTTCCGCGAACAAATTAAATATATAAAGTAAAAAATAAATACAAAAAGTTTACTCCACTCCACGTGTCAAATTTTAAGTGAATGTTCGGATGTATCTCTACATCCGGTGTTCGCACCTAATAATTTTCCAAATTGTAGAGTTCACAGAGTAGCCTAAAATTTTGGTTATTGTTTTTCGAATGTTATCAATTTCTAATAAAGTTTTTTGGCTTGTAATCTGGGCAAAACAGTTGACTTGTCTGTCCATTTCTTGCTCTTCCAGGTTCTCTTTTATGCCTTGATTTTGTAAGAAACTAAGGTGGAAGTTTTTGTTTGTGCAGACTGTGAGGTCATTTCTGGAGGAAACATTGCCCAACCTTCCTGATGAAGTTCTAGATTCAACTCTTGTGAATAGTCCATGCGACCATGAGAGGTTTGCTGATGTCGATGCCATATTGCCTCCTCCATATAGATCAAGTGGAGAACAATTAGCATATGAAGAAGGCGAGGGAACAAGGCAAGGATCGCTATTGAGTTGCTTGTAGGTAGTATTTGCCCATGTTCATTGCTAAGCATATTCAAAATACTTTATAAGAAAGAAAAAGCTAAGTAATACTGTTAACATTCTAAAATGTAGTCGTTGTCCTTCCAAATTCTCTAAGTGATAGCAATAATAGTGGAGGAGCATGTTAAAGGAAAGCCTTGTCAAAATGTGCATTTAGAATAAAACTGTCCTTCCACCCTAAGACTTCTCAGAATCATGAATTTCAATCAATTAAGTATATAATTCATTACATTGCAATAATTAAAATATAAATAAACTCATTTCAGAATGTAATTAGATGTTACTATGGTAAGCAGAATTGTATTATTGTGCATAAATGTACTATTTTAGATTATAACTAAATTATAATAGATTATTAAGAATATTATCATGAAGCATTGATTGTACTATAATATTATTTTTAATTATTTCATAATAAAATAAAATAATAAAATTCTCAAAATACCTGTGTAAAATTTTTCAAAATATAGTATGTTACCAAAATCATTCTCTCTGTAAAATACTAACAATTATGCATTGAAAGTTTTGTAGATCATAAGTTATTCCTCTTTTTGGCCCATAGAATTAAAATAGAAAATCTTGAAACTTTTATTTTTTTTTTAATTAAGATAGATAAAATGTCATCTATCTCAATTGGAGGAACCTTAAGCACTGGTTTGATAATCGCAATAGTATTGAAGTCACTCCAAATAGACTCTCTTTAGAAATCTCTCCCTATGTCTAGCCGACTAACTTGAGTGAGAAATGAGTTTAGATTAATAGAAAATGACATTTAAATATTGAATACAGGCTAAGCGCTCTGACACCTAGTTATGCTAGCTCCTCAGTGCTCCCTCTGGTAGCCTATAGTGCTTTGAAGCCAAACCCACCGTCATTGTGCTAGTTCAATTTTCCAAAAATTTAGAAAGCTCCGTGCCGGGGTGCTAACTTCTGCAGATCTGCGATGCCTTAATGGCAAATTTTTAGATATTTAAAACATGCAAATAGATCTCTGGGACCTATTTTAGAATACATACAGACTCTCACATGCACATAAAACATTATGAGACACATACAAAAAAGTTCAAATACATAAATTTAATGGGTTATCTTGAATCTAGTCAGATAAAAATGGGTTGAATCATATTCTAATCCTGGATGTGTCACAACTTTCATCTCCTTAGAGTAATATCATCCTTGATATTTTAAAATTCAGACCCTCAGAATAATTAGGATACAACTCTTCATCTTAAATTCCTTATTTGAATTTTAAGTATTTGAATTTGTTTGTTTCTTAGCTTCCTAACATCATATGCTAGAATTCTCTCTGGTTCCTCTCTGTAACTCATATTGGGATGTATCTTAACTTTTTTAGTAGATAAATAGTATTGAAAATCAGATACCCACTTCCTTAAAAGTTACACATGAACTATATTATGAATCTAAGATATATAATCTTATAATTATAACCTAAAGGTAGACTTTTTAATTCTTTCAATAACTTTAAATAGTCCAACATAACTTGGACTCAACTTTTCTTCTTTGCCAAATCTATTGATGCCTTTTATCAATATGATTTTCACATATACAAAGTCTCCTACCTGAAATTTCATAGCTTAGTGCTTAGCATACAAATAATGTTTCTACTTGTCACGTATAACTTTTAATCTATTCCTGATTAAACAACTATTTTAGTAGTGTTATCAACTAAAGATGACACAATCATATTCCTTTCACTAACTTTTGGCCAAGACAGAGTGGTCCTAAATTATCTACTATACAAAGTTTCATAAGGAGTTATGGGTATGCTTGACTAAATGCTATTGTTGTAAGTAAATTTGATCAAAAGAATGTAATCTTCCTAACTACCACCAGAGTTTATAATACAGTCTCAAAAGATCTTCCAGTACTTGAATAATCTTAAGATTATCTGGATAAAGAAATAAACTCTACCTTATATTATATAACAGTCATTCTCCCTTAAACTAATCTCAGAAAAGTCTCGTGTATCTGCTGGCGTATAGAAGGTGGTATGAATCAGGTTCATAACACATCAAAAAGTTCCTTCCAACTAATTATGGGATTTAGTCTCCCCTGAAACTTTTCTTCTTGGAGGCCCATCCTCCAGCCTACAACCTCTCCATCTAGCAGGAAAATTGTCAATGATACCTTTCTCATAGTATGACATTATATATCATCAAAAGTCTTCTTTAACCTAACTTTCTCAACCAATCTTGTACTTATTTGGGCTCAACAACACCCTCAAATATCAGAGGTTTCAATTTCAAAAACATATGTAGATGGTTGTTTTCATCATCATATCGAATAACAAGAATTTTACTCATTGCCTCATCCATCAGTTGGGCTATCAAACTGGCAAACTACGAAATAATATTATAATTGACTATAGGAGCAACACTATGTATGTGTGCTTTTTGACTCACACTCTATCCATCTATCATATTTGGGACTCGTAGATCCATAACAACATAAAACACTCAATTAAACATACACACACACGAAAACAAACATGAATGAATGCTTAGATAGACTTAAAATTATCCTACTAGACTTATAAATCATTTTGCTATAGCTTTATTTTATGATCAATTTTTAAAACTGTGACTCTGATACCAAAAAGCTTATCACAATCTAACCTGATAAAACTCATCGACAAGATAAGTCCTATCATGTTGGTATGCAATAGACATATTTGATGAGAATCTAAGTTTTGGAAATTATTAAAAAATTTCATCCAAATTTTAACTTTAAAATAACAATAAACACGGCTAATAACATCTAGTGCACTGAAAATTAACCCATTCACAATTTTTTTTCATTAATCATCAAAATGCATGTGCAATTATAGTGCGTTGATATAGACTGAGGTACAGAATAAAACAATAAAAATTAGTCATGTTTATATGAAAAAAAAAAATAAATACCTCTATAGTCTCAAATTAGATCTTAATACTACTACTCAAGTGGCCCTTCCCCCTTAGATCCTAAAAATAGTAAGTATAACAATGATGAGCTAATATAACTCAACAATTCATATATATATATA